AACTCTTAAAAGTTTCCCCAACCACATACTCTGCCAACATTCAGTCAGCCCACAATACAACTTGGCAGAATAAATCACTATTGTAAAAGATAGCTACATTATTCTGGAGAAAAAATAATTAACAATTAACTATCTTTAGATTTTATCATTTATTAGAATAATGATGGTTTTTAAGCATTAAATCTTTTTTATTTTCCTTGTTACTATGATATTCACCTATTTTCTCCAAATTCGTAATTTACATATAACAGTCTTAAATTAAAATTACAGTATTAATATAGGGTCATTATGAAAGTTCATGAGGATTTAATTTTCTCTGAAAAACAAACTGATAAGCTTTAATTAGTAATCTGATTTGAAAGTTCTATAGAGACTTTAGAGACCACTAAACACGCATCACTAAACATTTTAAGCTCACACTAGAATGGTAAAATTTAAAATAAAATTATCATGCCTGATGTAATACACCAAGGACAATCAGGAGTCCAGTCAGCAATGATCTGTGTGTACCGCTGGGGAGCAAAGCAGAGAGGATGTACTGTTTCCGGTCACAGTGACTTCGGAGTCTGATTCAAAGACTAAAGTTTCCATGTGTCCAGACTGCATAGTGTTGCATCCACCTGCTCCTCCAAACTCAGAAAAGTCAGGATGGACTACAGCAGTCCAGGAGGGCTCTTGGAAGAGACAGACCTAGAGCCTTCCAGGAAGTAGGGTGTTTGTGTTGGCTGGAGGATTCTACAGAGAGCAGAGAAACAATCCAGATAAAAAGACAGCCTGTGTGGACAGGAAGGAAGGCTCTACTGCCAGCACCTCAGCCCAGACACGGACATGAAAGAATGAGACCCACAGCTGCCCTCTATTAATCCTTGACTTTAAGCAAAGGAAAGGATTCGTATTGATTGTGAGGACATTTCTTTTTTAACAATTAGCTCTTTATACAATTCCATCTGGCCAAGAAATGAATAATCTTTTGTCTGGGATGCCATAGGTATAAGTCCAGCCTCCAGTAAAATGAGCTGTGCCCTTTGTAGCCCCTTCAAAACCTATGATTCATGTTTCTTGGAAAATACTGAGAAATATTCCATTAGAAATGATCTGCTGTCACAGAATATTGTATGTTTCCTGTGTTTTTCTTTCCTCATTATCACCAAGGACATTCCTAGGAAAACGAAATCCTATTTCCTCCCAGATATAACCATATTCTTCAATATTAATGTTTTCAACTTCCAAACTGACTTTTGTAACACCGCAATGAGTTCTTGGGGGTCTTTCTAGTGATGTCAAAATGTCTTTCAGAAAATTATTAGGCCAACAAATCACATGGCACGCAAAGGGGCTAAACCTCATATGGCAGCATTTCAAAGCCCTGAAACCAATTCCGATCTCTCCCACTAGACTTTCCCCCTGGGAAACCTAGCAGTACAGTTATTTGGCTAACAGTTTCAACCACGGCATGAGCAATGGGTATGACTTCCAACTTTCAAGGAAGGCCACCACCAACTATAACCTTTCACCCCAATTTAAAATGAAACAAAATCTCTCTACAAGCTTCACTATCTTTAATTTAATCCCTACTAAAATGCAAATGCTTCTCTCAGAATTTTTCACTATTAGAGACCACAATTTCTTATTCTTTTCTAATAGGTTTTCAAAAGGCAAGCAGAAAGACTGTCTTCCAGTGTACCAGCTCTCTCCCATGCACCCATCCTCTGCCAGAGGATGGAGCTGGTAGCCCTACTTGAAAAGTGAGCGCACTCCACATTTGAGGCCAATCTTAACATGGCAGAAATAATGAGTTCTAAAACAATGCTCCGTATCAGACTGTGTGCTAGCCCAATCTTGAGTTACTTAACAGATATCTTAGTTTTCAACAAATTGCCTGTCATTCTCAAGTCCAAATCACCACCATCCACTTCTGTTCTGCAAACCGTATCTGTCTCATCTTGGCTTCCTGCCCACTATTCTGGTGCTCACAAACAGGAACCCACCTTGTTCTTGTCACATGCCTAAGGAAAATGGAACCCTTCCTGAGGGAAAGCCACAAAGCAAGGCAATGAAGAACTTATGCTCTACTTAAAGACACCCTAGGGATGAAAACTCAGCACTGCGTGCCTCTTTCTGGCTATGTGATTTTAGAGTGCGAATCATTCTCCACAGGCCTCAGCTCCCCTCTCATGCTCACTAAATGAGAGAATGCACAGCACTGCGTAAGAGTGGAATGAATGTGGGGCTGGGGATTTAGCTCACTGGCACAGCGCCTGCCTGGCAAGCACGAGGTCATGAGCTCAATTCCTGGTACTGGAAAAAAACAAAAAAACAAAGAAACAAACAAAAAAAAGAGTAGAATGAATGCAATGACAGAAATGAGATCACAGCAAGAGTCAGGATGGCATAATAGAGTGTGCTGGAATTTACATATATATTGCCTTATGCCCACATTCTACGTTGCTGTGCTCTACCCAGCCAGAGTGAAACATTCACTAGCTCACACTGGAATGCAAATGGAAGATTTTTTGTTTTGTGTCTTAGCCTGTTAAGAGATTAGTGGCAGTCAATGGGCCTAGATCTGGATTTTAGTTTGCCTTACAACTTTCCTTCCAGTTTATGAAATTCATCCTACTACCCTAGTGCCTCCCGAGTCCTAACTCAGCACTTAGTTTCTGGTTTCTTCTCACTCTATCCTATGCATTTCAATTAATCGGGCCAGGTACCATCATACCCCAAATGAAGACAGCTCTAGTGTCTAGACCTCCACAAATGAACAAATAGGAAGGTGGGGGGACCCAAAGACAAATGGGATTCACAATTCGGTTTTATTCAAAAGCATTTCTGAAATCACTGAAAAGGTGTTAGTGTCACTTATCACCAAGTATTATCATGAATAAAAACAAAGCTTCCATTATGAATAAAGTCATATACTTAGAACATTTTCTGTGGAGTGCACAGCTACTGACAGGAACTCAGAAAAGTAAAAGTGAGGGACAGGCTAACTCCATTTGAAAAAATACTCGTTAAAAGTGAACTACAGAGCCAGAGATATATAGCTCAGTGGCATAGTGCCTGCCTGGCAAGCGCAAGGTCCTGAGTTCAATTCCTGCTACCAAAAAAGAAAATGTTTACCAAAGAGTTAACTCAAAGTGGCATGAAAAGACTTTTACTTATGTTGATCTTACAGCAATTTATTTTTATAGATTCTATTACACACACTCAGTTGTAAAGAATCATAGTCTATCCAACAACTCATGGGACTCCCAAATTACAATAGCCAGAGATTCAAACACTTTCTTACTGAACAGGAAACCTAAGCTTTATTCTACATACATAATTTTTCCTCTAGTTTTTGTAGTGTGATTTTTTTTTTAAAAAAAAGAGATACAAAGTAGATGCTGAAGTTTTAATTGAAATACCCATGTACTGTAATACTATGAATAGGAAGAAGATTTTATATCCCATAATATTTTTAAATTTTTTTATTTTTATTAGTTCATGTTTGTAGTGCATAATGATTGTATTCATTCTGGGGAGTTGGTCAAAATATTTATTTCCTCTTTTCTTTGACCTGAAGTTTCATCATAGTTTTTCCTCAGCAAAGACTAAGTTTTGCTTTTAAGCAGTTTAAAATACCAAAGACCAATTTCAGGGACAAATGGTCAGAGAAAGGGAGTCAGTGAAAAGTATTAATAAGATGGTTAAATTATTTCAGATTAATACCAATTAAAACTCATTCAGCTTGAATCCTCAAAAATACACTTAATCCTCCCCCTAAAAAGAGTTCTAAGTTTCTGTTCTTATAGATTAAAGAAAAGAAGAAGTAGTGAAACTGCAAACTAATGTGCTCTGTTGCATTAACCAATGCAACAGAAAACCCAACTCTTTTTATGCAGCTCATTAAAAGAAACTAAAACTGATGGACATTTTCTCTAATTTATTTGGGTGTGTGTAAACAAGTCCAAGTATTATAAATAAATCCTCTGATCCAACTGCCATCACTAAGCTAACATAGATCTCTCAGCTACATGACAATTCATCATTTGTCTCACTGAATAGTGATTGATCCCAATCAGCACTATTCACTGCCAAAAAGAGCCATCACAAACCATACTTTCCAATACAGCAGTGTTTACTGACCAATAACAGAACTGGATTGAATTTCCTACCTAGAACTCCCATGCAATTAACCCTATGCCATTTCTTTCCAAAATAAACTGTGAAGAAGAGGTATTAGTAGTGCACAAACTAGAAATCAATAGACTCCCTTGCTGCTATACTTTTTAAGAACTACATGTAAGGAACCTCCACTACAAGATCCCGGACTCAGGTGACACATGCCATGGGACCTTCACAGATACTCCACATGTTAGATATGGAAAGAACATGAACCACTGCGGGCTAAAGGGCACACTTCAATGGGCACCCTTCTAAAGTGGCATCCAATGCCTCTTGAGATTCAGACTCTTGTTTAATTGCCTTTCTTAACTGTGAGCTGAACCTACTGACTCCCTCTTGACTTCTGGATAGTCAGTCTGTACTGAAGTGAGCTGCCATGCCACAAACTTAACCAGGAAACTAAAGGAAATCTCCTACACATAGCCCCCAGGAAACTAAATGCTGCCAAAAATAGCTTGAGAGAGCATGGATATAGACATACCTTAAGACAACGGCAGTCCTAGCCCACATCTTTTAGTTTTGGGGGAAGGCCCAAAGCCCTAGGACCAAGCTAAGTCATGCCCATTCCATGATCTACAGAAACTGAAATAATCAATTTTGTTTTAAACCCCTAAATTTTGGAGTGATTCATTACTCAGCAAAAAATAGCTAAGAGCACCCAAACCAGACTTTACTACTAAGAGCACCATTTGGACAGCAATATATATTTATGGGGGGAGGGGGGATATATTTTACTTCTAGAATCATATGCAGACACAGAAAAAAAATCTTGTATCTTTAAATTAATAAAGGATAAATCCTTTGATTCGAATGTTTACCAAAAATCTCCTTACCTTGAATGCACTGAAGTGTTCCATCTTCTGCTCTTATTGTAAACGTCTCACCTGGATTAACTTGAACAAGAATAACCTGCCAAAACAACACACTAATTTCAATTTAATATGAAAACACTTAGGAATTTTCTTCAAGTTTTATTAACTAAATTTATGTACTAGTCAAGAAGTGTGTGGCACAGAATAGTATATAAACATAAAATTTAGGTATAAATCATTAATCTGGTTAAAATTTGGGAGGATAAACAGATACATGCATTTTCATTTAACCAAGTGAATTTTCCTGTTATTTATGTAATTTGGATAATTCAAGTTTAAGAAATCTTTTCTTTAGAAAACCTTTTCTTTTTTTTTCTTTCATGAATTTAGACAGCTCTTGAAGAAAAACCAACCAAAACTATACTGACAAAGGAAAAACTGTAAAAATAAAACATCTATATATACAACACAAAGTAAAATAGGTATTATTAATTACCCCACCAAACTCAAATGTTTAAAACGAATACCTAGAGTTAGCATTTTAGTCATATGAACATCAATATTTAATATTAGAAAATAACTTCCAAGACTAGACCATGAGCAGCAATGGCAAAGTATATTCTTTCAACAGTCTCTGTTCTAATACAATAAAAGAGTGAATCACAAATTTATACCTAATTTCTATCTAAACACAAATTAAAAGGCACAATCCAAACTTTAAAACTATACTTAAAAATTATCAGGTTCACAGTTAACACTATTCAAATAAACAGCATATATTTTAGAAATTGATAGACTGTTGATGTTGTATTTACAAGTTCTTGGAGTAAGTCTCACTCCTTCTTGGCTTAGACCTTTAAGCATACTGTTCCGTACTCCCTTATCTTTGCCTACCACTGACTTTATTCCTTCCCTGACCAGCCAATGTCTATTCATCTTCCTCAGTTTAAGACATGGCATTTGATTCCCAAGACAGCGGAAGTCCTCCACTAGATGTTCTAAAACAAAAACAAACAAAAATTTCCACTTTACCACCACTTCCTAAATTTATAATTGCAATTAATTAACTAAGCAAGTATTTTAGTCTCTGCCTGTCCTTTAATTAGGTAACACAAGAATAAAATCTGACTGTCTAGCCCCATGCCTGGCACTAAATCAGAACTCACTATTTTGCCAGGCATGTTGGCGCACACCTATAATCCCAGTACTCGGGAGGCTGAGGCAGAAGGATTGTTGTGAGTTTGAGGCCAGCCTGGGCTACAAAGTGAGTTCAAGGCCAGCCTGAATTGCATAGCGAGACTCTGTCTCAAAAAGACGAGGAAAAAAAAAAAAAAAGAACTCACTATTTTTACTGAATGAGTGAAAGTCATAAAGCATAAGGAAAACACAATTATTTTAACACAGAAGTGAAGCTTTAATGAAATGTACTTTGAAAGTCAACTTTACTACATATGCTATAATGTATCAGTTTTGTAAAAGTATTTATTAACACCCAAGTAATTTCACCTTTAAAATTAAACCTTTACTATCCATGTACTTTGCTGCTTCTAATAATTCATCATAGGAGACACTGCCAAAATATCAAAATCTTTAAAATTAGGAAATAAATTAACTGGAAAAAAACAGTCCAAGCTTCATCCCTGGTGTTTCCTATTGAACGGTAAGTTATTTCAAGGCAATTTATTTTTCCTGTACAGTAACTGTGTCAATAATCTTTTGGTCTTCAGTATTCAAACTGTCACCAATGTAAACACACTGTGCCATTTTAAGAACGCAAAAGGAAATTCCTTCAGATCTCTAAAGTGATAAAACATTTCAATTGCTTTCTTGAAACTGAACTTTTAGAGCCATTCCTTTAACATGAAATTCATCTGAGTTAACTTTAGTTTTACATAAATATTGAGCATACTTGTCTTTCTAAACTCTTTAGTCAAACTCTAGCATCCCTGTAATAGAGCCAAAACCATCTGCTTTGCATCTAAACCTCCAGAGATAAGCTGATAATATATGCCTGTGGACTTAATTAGCTGGGAAAAAAAAAAAAAATCAATGGACATGAAGTCTCTATGTCCCAGAGTTTCTCTGACACTCAGAAATTCATATACTCTCTTCTACCACCACACTATTAATTGTCAGATAAAGTGCCCTGAATACTGGTGCTGAAAAATACAATTCACCAGTATTATGGAAAGCCCCAGGCAGGAAAAAACGACTGCTGAACTGAGGTGTGCTCCAGATTGCCACGTTATCTTCACACCATACTGCATAACAAGTGCCTCTAATAGTTCCTTCAGTTACTGACAACAGCCACCATTCAAAGCATTGCCCAGAGGCATCCAGCTGGGGAAGTCCTGACTCCCACATCTCTCCTTCAGGAGAAGGATGACAGGTAAAGAGCTTTTGAGCAGCCTACTAAAATACCTCCCTTCAAATGTTTAGTTCCTATAATTTTCACTGCTGCTGAGTTTCTATGGCAACCAGATTATAATCTATCAAGTTATCTCAGAAACCAGGCAAATCTCCTGTGTCCTAAGACCAATTTTTCTTAGTAAGAGCTAAAGTCGATATTTGACCAATCTGTATTCATCTTGCCATGGAGGTATTTTAAAAGAAAGCACTGCATTATATTGATGAAGGGTGATCATCTTGCTGCTTTCATTGCCAAGTGCAGAGATAAAAATACAGTTCTGACACAGCAGCTCAATAACCTGTCCTGACAGCAGATGTAAATGAATCCTGCATTGGGCCTTGCATCACCCTTCCTTGAGGAGCCTGAGTTACACGTTGGCCAACTGGGGCACCTAACCTTTTGTATCACACAAGTTGGTCACACATTCACTTTCTCCCCCTCATCTTTCTCTGTGCCCCCTCCTCTCCCTTCTCTTCAGCCACAAAGCAGCTGTAACTGCTACAAGTTCTCTTAAATACAAAATATAAAACATAACACTGCTGTTCAAGCCTCATCTTTTGTCCTCACACTATTTCCTGCTTTTCCCAAGTCAGCATCAAATGGATTTATGCTGTATTCTGTGTCTTGTCAGAGAAGAAGGAAAAAAATCAAGACAAAGATTTTAATCACTGAAAGGTTTTTTTCTTCTTAACATAGAACAAAAATCAAAAGCATATGCACATACCTCAGGCTACTACTGCTTCATTAGATCTGTTTCAAGGCCACTAACGCTACCTGAACCAAAAGCCCAAAATAAACATAGGCAATTTTTTTTAAACATAGACAATTTATCAAGGCTTAATAAAAAATAAGTGACCACTCTTCCAAAGTGGAAGAAAAAAGAAACAACACAAAGAAACAATACAACCAGACAATTAATACAATTGAGAAAAAAGCCAAACCAGCACCCTGAGAACATTTTCCCAATGAGCAGACTGAAACAAGGTGCTGCAGATCTTCCCTCACAGTGTAAATCTAAATTTAACTGTTTTCATCCATTAGAAGAGAAAAGGGAAAGCAACTTTTGCAATTTAAACATGGGATGGCTGATTAACCCAGATGAAAGAATACCTAAGATTACTCCTAGAGAAAAATTCCTAATTTATGCCTTAAGTTAAAAAACAACCAGCCACTTAAGTAAACCTCACAATGTCCATCAAAAATGCTTCAGCTAGGGGAGTAACACAGAGACACCAAAAATGAAATAGTGCATTTGTAGCATTCTTAAAAATTCAACCTAGATGGTCAGGACATAAATGGAAGTGGGAGAGAAGACTTCTCCTTCTGGAGCCTTCTCCAATGCCATACCTTGCAAAGTTTGTCTTTTGCTAACTTGCCTCATGTATAAATACATACACAAAGAAAATGTGCCAGGTTAAAGATATGAGCATGTAGATTAAAAACACACCTCGGAAGATGATAGGCAAGTGTTAATTGCCTCACCTTGCTCACCCATCCTCCCGAAGCCTGAATCCAAAGCTGGCAGGAAAAAAACATGCAAGACCAAGAAGAATTTAAACACCACTGGGTCAAGGTACAGGGCCACACATCATGTGTGAACCTTTTCGGTGGTCAACATAACCAGTAAGATAAACGCTCTGATTTTGTTTCTTTCTGTGTTTTAGGACACTTTCCAATGATCCAAACTTTTAAAGGATAGAAGGTTCAAAAGTTGTCTCCCTGGACAGAAAACTTTGACATTTGTAAAATTAAATATAGCTATGACGTAGGCTATGGAATCAAGTCTTTTCACCCCTTATAACAAGTGCAAAAATAGTTACAAGCTATTGAACCTAGATGGGCTGTCAAATAGGTACCGTTAACCGGATTTACAAATGAGAAAACTTGAGGCTTGAAGAATGCAAGAAATTTGTTCAGTCACTACAGAGTGCCTGAGCTAGCATAAAAACCCCAGCCCTGCCTGACCATAATGGGCAGCAGTTACATGAAGTCAAGTATCTGTACAGATACAGTACTTCAAAAATTTGCAATCTTGAGAGAATGCAGTTAACTGGGTCAAAGGCACATCCCCAGAGACACAGAACAAGTGCTTCTCTAGAAAATTTGTGCTCACTCCCTGAAGTACAGCCTCCTACCTGCAATCAAGGTACGGCGGTTACATAGCAAAGGACCCTAACTCCTATACTGGGCAGAATTTACTTTCACAAAATTTTTGTTAAGTCCTTTAATCCACCACTCCCATCACCCTGAGAAAAACCAAGGTGCTAAACACTAATATCACAATCACTAGATGCCACTTCTTATGGGTCAATAGTAAGCATAAGAAAAACACAAGGTAATTTTTGTGAAGATTGCATTATAAACTCTGTTCTCCCCACAAAATCATCTGTCATTAACAAAAACAACAACAAAAGACTGGAATGATTAGTAAGAAACAAGAAGTCAGATGAACCAAGTGGGACACCTTTATACACCAAAGCCATACAATTTTATGCCTATGGAAAATAAAAGCAAAAAAGAGTTCAACAGCTGCATTTCATGAAATAAATGCCCTCAGAGGAAGTACTACTACATGTCTGTCATAATTCAGCAAATACAAATGAGCACTCAGAATACATCAGGTACTCTTCCAGGCCAGTGACGGTGAACCTCTCAGAGCTCTCAATGGTGACACAGGTTTACCACCA